TCCTGGCTGCCCTCCACCTCTACCCCCACCTCCACTATAATTTCCTTTGCATCAGCCCTGCTGGTGCATTCACAGCGAGCGCCAAGCAGAAAATGTGGAATGCAGCTATGCATTTCTTAAACCAAATCAGCGGCCATGACAAAGCAGCTCCGCAAACGCGTCCTTCACCATGGAGTTGGCTGGTGGTTGGTGGAACCTGGTGTTTGTCTTTGTCCTGGCACTCCAAACAGGCCAAAAGAAAACTATCTCTCCCGCACAGTCCTCATTGTCCACCCATTTTCCCGGCCATCTTGCAGCTGGGTATGACGTCGAAGCCGCTCTTGACTTCGACCCGGCCAAAAGTTTTTCCACTATGCACGCAATTTCCTCGGTTCCTCGGAAGAGTCACCAGTTTGTTGCTCTGATGCTGGTATTTTGTTGCTCTCTTACTCTTGAGGCACTTGAAAAAATAAACAAATTAAAAAAGTGGCTGGTGTTTAAGGCGAACTTGAAACAAAAACACATTAGGACTGTTGCTACATAAAATATTTTATCAAGTTCTTTTCAAAAAACGTAGAGTTTTATTCTGAATTTCTTAGAGACATTAAAAAACTGGCTTAATTTTTTTTGCTTAATATATTAATCTTTTAAGATAAGAAGAATATTAAGAAGATTTCTTCCCAGTATTATGTCCGTGGCTGTGTTGTTATGTTCTCCTTTGCCTTTCCGCGTTGCAAGTTGCTGTTGTACCGCTCGGGGGCAGCGGGTTGGTGTGTTGTCAGTTTTCGGTGGGGCTCTGTGGATCCGCGTGGATGCTCTTGTTGTTGTTTCATTACTTTGCCGCATAAAACAAATGCGCATAGTTGCCGTCAGTTATTATCCACTTGCAGCGGCACTTTGTGGCAGCCACCATGTCACCGGGAATACAGCAAGAATCATTCTCCATTCTTCCCCGCCAAACAACAACGCAGCATCAACAATGCGCCCCGTTGGCCAGAACGCGTTTTCTTTTGACTTTGGCTTAATCAACACGGCCACGTTACTGCGAGCCACAAAAGGCATTCCAATTGCCCATGCCCAGGCTGAGGCCCAGGCCCAGGCCCAGGACCAGGCTTATGCTCAGTTCCAGGACCCAGGCAAAGGACCTAGTCCATGGACAGCCCAACCCACTCATACTCGGCCGCAAGTATTTCTGGGACCAAATTATTTTCATAGCTTTAGCTTAAAAGCTGAAAATGCCGCTACCCCTCTGGCGCTGGCAAAGAATTAAAAATATTTACAGTATTCCAAGTAAAACAAAACAAAACAAAAAATATATAAAATATTATATATGTATATATGTATATAAAGAAGAACAAAAAATAAAACAACGCACAAGAGGAACGCATAAAACTTGGACGAACATGAGACAAAGGAAATGTCATCTCTGTGTGTGGGGAGGAGCGTGTGTATGTGCTTTTCTGGTTTGGTTACCGCAAGTTGAGGAAAAAATGCAAAGCATTCCAAACAAATATGATAAACCATAATTCCGCCCTCGCTTAGCCAGCCACCGACAGAGATGGCCTTAGACAAGGGTAATAGATGGTAGAGCGACAGGGTGTGGCACGACCAAGAACTTTGTCATTCTCATTTTTGGCCAATTTGCGCAAAAACCACAGGCAAATATCGACAGCCCCACAAAGGCTTATGCCGTGGCCAGGGATTAAGACCGCCCGAACTTTTCATGATTAATGATGCTTTGAAAAGTTCGCATTTTCCCAGCCCGGCTCGGCCCCGTCTTGGTCCATCATCTATTCCATTTCCATTTCGACTCGCTTTTCTCGCTTTTCTCCCGGCGTGTGTTTGTTTCAGTCAACTGTCGGCAGTCGGCAGTCATCACATCATTTCAAAGCGATTTCCTTAATGATTGCCCCAAAGGTTTAGGTTCGTGGTTGTGCAGAGAAAAAAATATAGATGATAGTTGGATATACTATGACAAAAATGTGAGAAAAATAAATTCCTATAATGTCTTGAATTATAGATAACATTTTTATACAATTTATTCCAAAGTGCCCAGAATTTGATCCACTATTCCTTTATTTACCTGCCCCTTCCACCTTGTTGCATAGTTGATTTAATCCGCCAGCAGCTGCACTCACGAGTGTTTTTCCAGGATTTTCGAGTAATGCGCTTTTTATTAGACGAAAAGCCCTCTTGACTTAATTGCTAGCCTGGCCTGGCCTGGGCTGGGCTGGCCCCGACTGGCGTGCCGTTGAAAACTGAATGGCAAAACACACAGCAGCCGAGCCAGAACGATTTTGGCAAGTTGCCCTGCCTGTTGGCGCCCAAAAATTAAATTGGCCATGTTTAAACAGCAAATTTGGGCAAAATTAGGCGGGCTTTTATAATCATTTAAGGGATTTTCTTTTTTTTTTTCAATCTGAGGCCACGAAGCGACCATGGCGGCAACCAAAGGACTACCCAGAGATTTATTCAAATTCTGTTCGCCGGCCAAATGAGCCGAAGCCGCATTCATTTGAGGTGGGTGGATAACCGCCTAATACCCAGTAATAACCACTAGCCGAAAGTGGCGCACACAAAGTAAACCAACCACCGTGCACCCATCCACCCATCAGACTCCACCTCGAAAGACCCCCAACCAAATATGAAAGTCCATCAGTCTGAATCCGTAATGAGATGAGTGCAGCACGAACAACTTACGCAAATATTTGGCAATTATCTAGTTTCGGTTTTTGGTGGAAAATTTCCGAGTTTAACATCCACAACGAGGACCAGGAGCTGGTCCAGAAGTGGAATAAGGACCACGAATCTCACTCAACAAAACATCCACACCGGCATTATTTTAATGACTGAACATTGCAGCAAATTAGTCAAAACAAAAAAGTTGGTGGTGCGAATAAGAGTGCCGGAAAAAAGGAAACGAAGACCGGAATTCAAGGGAAATATGTGAATACTAGGTTCTCTTAGTTTACTTAATATATAAGTTTTCTTAAGGGCCTTGAGTTAGGGCATTTCTAGATCATATTTTGTGCCAGATCTGGAGATAAATATAAAACCCTGAAATATAAACCTTTAACTCTTTCCATTTATTTGTATTAAGTTTTAGGTATGAGTATTTAATTTATATAATAGCTGAAATATATTTAAATTAAACTTTTAAAAACCTTAAAGTTTTATAAAACTAAATATAAATCAAAAATAACTTATCCTCCAGCTAAAATACCCCAAGATAGAACCTTTGCCATAAATGTTGACTGCCACATCCTGGTCCTGCCATCTCGGACAGATCCTGACGAGTGGGTGTTGTGAGTCGTAAGGGGCATGGACATGGGCATGGGGGCGTGCCTGTGGAAAGTTGAGTGGGCATCGGGCGTGTCAAAAGACAAACACCAAAACGGCTCGCTGCGGGTCTTTTTTTTGTTTGAGTGTCTGTGTGCGAGTGTGTCCTGTCTCTGTTTGTCTAAATGCGAGTGCCTTTTAAATACTCATTACAAAATTAATTCGGGGAAAAGTTTTGATAAAAATCCTATTATAAACATAAATAAATAGGCAGAAAGGCAGGCAGGCCAGGCGGGCAGGCCTGGCAGGCAGACCAGCCGCCAGAAAGGACAAAGGCAGTGGCTGAGCAAACATTCGTGAGTAACCAAACTGGAAACAGGGGCGTTGTCAGTGATAGGAGGGGGCTTTTTTTAGTCAGACGGAGCCTGAGCCTGAGCTGGCAAGTGAAAGGTAGTGGCAAAGTCAAAGTCAAACAATGAGGCAGCCAGCTGTAAAGGACGAGAACTGAGACTTCATTAGTGCTCATCCACAATGTATGTATGCTGGTGTCGTCTTGGTCTTGGTTATTCCACAGTCCGGACCTGAAACTGGTCCTTATACTCTCAGCCATCAGCTACCAGCCACCATAACCTTTTCATATCGTTTGTGGTGAGACGGGGTAGTCCTGCAATGAATATATGGCATTATACTTTCAGCGGTTCGCCGCTTAATTGCGGTTTATTCAGCGGCTATAGGCATATTCAATATTCATATTTTGCCACGGCAGGAGCATTTATTACCCCAACAGTTGTACGCAGAAAGCACTGAGAGAAAATATTGGATGTAATTTAAGATTTTCTAATACCTATAGAGAGGGAAATAGATAAGAAGTTCGTTTTCTCCCATCAAAATAATGTTTATTTTTAAGATTTTTAGTAAAAAGTTTGAGGAATTTCTAGAGCTCATCCCACTTGGCCAAACTAGAGAGACTTTTGTTTCCTTTTTGGCCAAACGCTGGCAAAATTTAATCTCAAACTGAAACCGAAGACATTTTGCCAGTCAACGGTGGAAAATGTTAAGCGAAATTGCTTTGCCCGGCCATGCCCCCAAGGTGATTTGCATAGCACACAGGTGAGAGTGGGGGCAAGTGGCAGGTTCAGTGCGGTGCTGTTATAGAAAACGGGCACTGTCTGTCAAAGAATGGCGGCATGTGTGTGTGCCTCACTATGTGTGCACAGTACGCTTCGAATTATAACAACGAACCAAAATAGAAAATCACGTCTGAATAATGAATAGTGTGTGCCCTGCCTAGACAAACTCGATCAAAATGTAATAATGGCAAAGTTAATTGCCTACAAGAAGACTGGGCTTAGATTGGGTTTATTTTGGCTAAAGATTTGAAACAATAGATGGCTTTTTTACCAAGTTTGGCTTGCACATTCTACTGAAATTGAAAATAAATTTCATAAATTATAAAATTGCCTTTTGATTTCCCACGAAATCAATTATAGTTGCCGATTTGTAGAATATTAAGTTAATCAGCGATTTAAAAACTTCGCACGCAATTACAAAATTATAAATCAAATCAAATTCGTGGATGCTACAAAACGAAAACAATTCTCTCGTGCAATTACAAAACTGGTAAACAATTTTACTACAAAAATTTTCCGACATTAACCTTAATTGCCGTTTGATTTATATGTCGGTGATTTCGACAACTATAAAAACCGCGAGACCAGCTCCGAATAAATCAGTTTAAACTTTAAAGTTGAATATGAAGCTGTTTGCATTCTTTGGTCTTGTACTCCTCATTCTGGCTGTGGGATTGGTAAGAGCTAAGGCGTTTTCCGTTTCCCGTTTGGCCTAATCAGTGGCGCTTTTCCAGACCCAGTTCCCGCAGCAGGTGGCCGGCCATGGCCAGAACACTCCCCCGCCGCCGCCTCAAAATGGCAATGGAAATGGCAACCAGCAGGGTGGACAAGGTCAAAACGGACAAAATGGACAAAACAATAATAATTAAATGAACACCAGAAACCAAAATGTCTTTCGAGTGGAAACACTTGTCACTTAATTTCGGATTTAAATAAATAGTTAATTCAGCAAATTGAAAAACGTATAACTGGAACTCTATTAAGGGGATTATGGGGAAGACCTATTATAGGACTGGACTGGAAAAAGCGGGTGTTTGGTGTTGTACAAGTTTTTCGAGCTTTATTGTTTTGAAATTGTTACGAGTATTATAACCTCTTTATATTCATCTCATCTACGACTTTGTGTATTTCCACTCGGTCTGGGCCAACTCGGAGTTGGCAAACTTTATTAATAAAGTGCACAAATTATGAGCACCCTGGCTCCTGCTCCATGGCTCATGCCGACACGGCCTGGAGGCCGGCGGAGGAAATGGTGCTAGCTGGCTAGATGGGTCCTACAAAGCGGTAACTTCTTCTCCAGCGACTTGTGTTCCACATTCAACATTTTGTGAAAATGCAAATGCTTATTATTTCAGCCAAAGGAGCTGTGCCGCCGGGCACACTGAGTGTATAATTGCATTATGTCGGCCGGATTCTAAAGGAAGCACAGCTAACCCTGTTTTTCGGGGTCTCTGCTGCTCAGGGTCCAACCTACCGGGTCCTGCCCCCCCAAAAAAGTCCACCTTTTGAGTTCTCAGAGTCTAGGTTTCTACTTCAGCAACTGCGAGGCAGTCATGTGTGAGTGCACCTCGGAGAATAACCGAAAAAGTTATGTTATCGCCATCAGTCATGGGATGTCAGGTTTTCAAAGGGAAGCAGATAGCAGAGGTGATATTATATGAAATATTAAAACAACTAAATATAGTATGTTACTAATCACATATAGTGAGAATAGTGCAACTAATCTGTAAAGATTTATCAGGTGTAGCTTTCAAGATGATTCCAAAAGTTTGCTTTCATTGAGACCTGACGTGTAAGAATCTAATCGAATTTCTAGATTAAACATTAGCCTCCATTGTTGTGTTTATTTTTTCTCTCTGTTGTGAGGAAGAGAAACAAACGCGGCCTCAATTACCAAATGCTGATGAAAAGTTACAGCCAAGCTGAAAGAAGGAGAACGGCGAGGCGAAGCGCATTCCCTTTGTTCGATGGCAAAGTAATACATATCCCTCGTCATACATAATTTCCGCTGCGAAGGATATCCAATGTTCGGGAACGAGGACGCACATCATCATCGTAGTCGCCGTCGTCGTCGTCGTCGTCAGGAGCCACTGGGCGTAGGCAAGCAAAACAAATGCAGCTTTCACTCGAAGCTCGAATCTCAATGCCAGGACAAGAGCAACACGTGACGACACGAGGACGATGGAGGACGAGTGAGAACCGTGAGTTTCACTCGATTATTTGAGACATTTGCAGGGCCAACAGCAGCCAAGGATGCGTCCAACATGTTGCTTCACGCAACGGCATGGCAAGTGGCGAGTGCAAACGAGAACAGGACACGAACAGGACGCAACGAACCCAACAACCGAACGCAGCCAGTTGCCGAAGGCGGAGCTTCACGAACCGAGGCGAGCCGAGCCGAGGGATTTTCAGCCACGAACTGATAAAGCCGCAGCTACAGCTTCTCCAGGATGCCTGGCTGCTGGTCTACAGGATAGCCACTCGGTCAGTTGAACATTTTCCATGCTGTGATCAAGTTGTCTTTTCCTCTGAGCGCCGAGCGCTGTGCACGCCTTGGACTTGGAACGTTTCGAAATCGGGCTAAAGAAATATTCAAAAAAAATATTCGAAAAATTTGAAAACCAATATAAAATATTAGAATCCCAACATAAGCTGCAAATTTAGTGCGTTCTTAAGAATCGTAGAGGGTGTGTGTGCGAGTGTGTTTGCGAGTGTATGATTGGTGGTGTGAGTGTGCGAGTGAGGCAAGTCTAAGTGGGAAGCGAAATTGTCGTGGCAGCCACCAAGGCGTGGCACACCCAGTGTGCACCCAGGTCGGTGGGTGCGGCTACCTTCAACATGCACTTGTTGTGCCGTTGCAGTTGCAGTTGCAACTTCCACTTGGCCAGGCGATAATTGCTCTCCACTGGCTTGCCTCCTCGGCCATCAAGTCTCAAATTTCGAACTCGAGTGCTCATGGTTGGCATTGCCTTTGCAGCTAGCAAACAAACCACAAGATATAAAATCAACAAGAAGACATAAAAAAATTGTGAAACGACGGACTGACTTACATGCATTTTATTAGTAAATAACAAAAACCAAAGTATATATTAAAGCAACACAACTGAAGGAAAATATCAATCCAATTGAAAACACCAATGAAAATAAACGCAAACCTGAAACAACAGCCGCAAACATTTTTATAAAATAAACACCAACAAAAAAAAAGGAAATTCAATAAATACAAAAAGGTTTCCCCGCAAAAGAAAAACAAAGAAAGCATAAAGAATTGACAGGACACCGTGAAATGGATATGGTAATGGTAATGGAAATGGAGTGATGAAAATCGCCAAATAAAATGCATTAATTAATAAACCATGCTCAAAAGAATTCAATTAAATGAGGCAAACTAATTAAAACAGCAAAGCCAGCCAGCAAACGTTTCACACCAACAATATATCCTACCGCAAAAATTCCAAACTATATATACGTCTATTGAGAGCAGGAGGTGGAGAAATCAAAATCGCAGGGAAATGAAGTCGACAAAGGCACCCAAGTCCGGACTGGAACCCAAAATTGTAATGTACAACAACAGCTAATATGATAAAAAAAGACAGATTTACAAAATAATTGAATTCACAAAAGCACACACTTTGCCACTAAAAAAATCACACAAGCCAATCACACAAAGAAATCCCAGACTCATGCGACATTGCAACAAGAAAATCGCCAAATCATTCGAATTCTTTTGCCCGAACTTCAGAGCAGATTCTTATTGAAGAAAAGTCATTTTTCAAATATATATACTGCGTTTTTCCTTGTCTCAAGTCGCCTCTAAAAAATTTCACATTTTCTGACTTTTAGCAAACGACACACAATGGTATTTGTAATTTCCATATCATCAGAATTTATCCTGCAATCTTCCCTCACTCTGTATCTGTATCTGTTATAGTATAATCACCATCACCAGCTTGCATTTTTCCTTGTGTGTCAAACTTTGAATTTTTATATCTGAGCATCTCCTAGATGTGCCAACACATTGAGTCGAGCCAAGCCATCATCCATAAACTCTATAAAATCTGTAGAGAATATTTAAGTATATTTTTAATAAGAAAAAGTGTCCTTTTATTCTAAGCCTATTGATTAACGACCATTTTGGCAAATTGCTAATATTTAATTGCTGTAATTTAGACACTGTCGCGACCCATCTCGTCTAATGAATTATAATTTAATTATGCATAAAGTAATTGCAAATTGGAATTGGGGTTATGTGGCTGCCACATCAATAATTTGAAATACGAAGCGAGTTGGTAAATAATGATAATTATGCGGTGATTATTTAATGAGGGTTTCGCATACCTGTTACTTGTGCAGTGAAAAATGAATACAATTTATGATTTCATGAGGAATTACAAAATGAATGGCCGATGTAATAAATTATCATGTGCAGACAAGGCTCTGGTTTTCACTTTTACAAAGTGGAATTCGATAACTCGAATTCATTCGGGTTTTAAACAAGTTTTTAAAGCCGTCAATATTCCTAAATAGATAGTTTCCTTCGTCCTTATGTACACCCATTAAAATTAGTTACATTGGTTTCAAATTTTCATAACATGTACCGAAATCTGCTCTGCAAAATCCCCAGAAATGAAGTTCCAGCAAATAAAGCCGAATCCTCTGGCCGCACATAAGTACGCCATATAATTTGCATAAGTGCTTGTCATGCATGTGGCATCGACTCAAGGGACCCCGTTCGCTGCAAGTTCAAGTGGGTCACACAAAAAGCCATAAAAATGGGTTAGAGCCGAGGGGCGTAAATCAAAGTTGGCAAACTTTGTGACAAAAATAGCGACTAGATGCTGGGGAGAGAGCTAAGGGGTCGGATGGTCGGGAGAAAACAAGACGATTTGGACATTGTCCAAATTGTTGGCAATTAGGCGAGAAAAACAGTCAATAAAATACAGTAATCACGGAAGCTGTTTATACCCATGTTCATATCAATTGGCATCACGCACTCCGCAAAAAATTACTCCGAACCGGGGACCAATTAAATTTGGATTTAACCGAATAAACAAGAAATTAAGTGGGAGTATTTTAATTAGCCAAATCCCTGTTTGGGACTGAAACTGGGACTGGGACTGGAGTTTTGAGTTCGCTTTCCGTTCTAGTCACGTTCCATTGTTTGCCTATCCAGTGTGTGTGTGTGTTGTGGATGGAGGGCAGACCGTATTAATTAATGCATAGAAATGTGTATTTAAGCATATTTTAAAAATTAATTAATGTAATTTCTATTAAAACGGTTTCGCCTCTGTTTCTACCATTTTTCCTCCCGTTTTCTCTCTTTCAACCTTCCATCAAGCCGCACAATTTTAATTAGAAAAGTTTCAGCCCGGCCCCTGCACAGCCGCCTTGTATGTTTAACCGAAAAATATTACATCCATATATACACATAAATATATACCTATAGAAACGGAAATGCTCGCAAATATATGTATGTATGTATAGGAAGGACTTTGCGGCGAACACATGACCGATGAGGGCGGGACACTTTTTGTGTTGCCTACTTTTCTGGGCGCCGCTGGGATAACCGGAAAAGCGGATGAATTTCGTTTAATTTGCATTTGCAATTTGAATTTTGAATTCTCAATTCGGAATTCCATGAAAATGAAATATACATACATATGCTTGCTTCAGGGGCATCAGCTTAAAGAAGTTTTTGTTCGATTATTAAGCATACGCCCTGTGGTACACTGACCACACAAAAATAAGAACAACAAGTTGACGGGTGACGGGGGGCGGTGGGGCGGTGAGTGGTGTAAGCAGTGCAGCAGTGAAAGTGCTGCCGGCAGTTTTATCTCTCGTCCGCCCCAGCCACGCCCACTTTGGCTGCCACTGCTGCCGGTGATGGAATTATTGTGTGCCCAACGAACCGCAAACAAATCTGTGCTTCTGCCATGCCCTCCTCCTCCTCTATCTCGTTCGTTTTTAATACACATAAAATGGTGTATTCTGTTTTTTTTATATTATTTTTTTATTTTTCCGTTCCGTCACTATTCTCAACTTGTGAGGGAGTGGGTGGGTGCTTGTGGCTCGCTTATCTCGGCCACAATTTGCTGTAAACTTGATGGCTGTTTTCTACTGCCACTGTCACTGCCAGTGGCTGTCATTTCAGGTTAATGCTCGATTTTGTGTTTATACTGCAGGTAGGTAGGTAGGTAGGTGGGTACATAGGTAATGGCTTCATATTCCACCCAAGGCGTTTCCGTTTATTAATCGCTGCTCATTTGTTTTTCCGTTTGAGAAAAAGCAAAGCCAAAGATGCTGACCAACGCAGACCAATAAATCAAATGACAGAGACAAAAATTAATTATGCCAGCAAAGCAGCTTTCGGTGGCAATTTGTTACATAATCCAAGGTGGTGCTGCTATCCACCCAGCCATACACAATTTGTCACTGCAGTCCAGTCCATTGGTAGTGCAAAATACCAAGTTACCATTATAAATTTTAATAAAACAAATTCCGGCTGTGAGCGACTTGGCCTTCGACCGAATTCACAATCTCGGCCAGTTACTCGGCAAAAGCCAAAACATTCCGCAACAGAGGCAACATTCCGCAAAACAGAAAGACGAATATTCAGCCCGCTTGCAAACTGGAAGGGTAAGCTTGGGAGGATTTTTGAGGACCACATTCCACCTGAGTCCTGAATCCAGAAGCTGGAACTAGCTAAAGAGGAGTCTCAGCTGAGCCCAACACGCCTTCGGGCCATTGGCTGGCTGAAAAATAGTTGGAGTATCTGTTTTTAAGCAACACGAAGGAGAGAGTCCTGGCTCACCTGAATGGAGCTATTGCTGCTGCTGCTGCTACTGCTTCTGCCGTTCTTCTTGCATACTTTTCTGTTAACAAATTCCGACTTCGTCCCTGCACACATAGCATATATCGTACACTCGTATATGTAGATACAACATGTAGTATGCTGCTACAAGCCATGCATGAACTGGCTGCCTTTGTGGAATTTGCTCATGAATTTCATATTCCCCGCCTGCAGCATCAGTGGCATGTGCTTACTGCACCGAAAGAGCCCCCAGGTGATGGTCCTGCCAAAAGCAACCTTCGCATAAAATATTTTTACAAATGCCATTTAATGAGAGACTGCTTGTTATAAAATTATTTCGAAATATAGTTTAGCTGTCAGAGAAAGAGGGGATTGCGGAAATTTATAATAATATTTCCAACAAAGACTTCTCCATAGTTACGAATGCAATGATTTTTAATATGAATTTTAAAACAAAACAAATATTTACTCATGCAGGGCTTCTCACAACATGCACATCTTTTTGTGTTTTTGTCGGGGTTTTATTTTAAATCATACTTTTCTCAAAATCATAACGCTATTCTTTTCCATTTAGTTTAAACTAAGAGTTCTAGTTCCTTGTTTTTAGGGAGCAAAGGTCCTTAACAAAGCCAGAAAGGAACCGGCAGTTCTAGCCACCTATTAAAGTACTTTTTTGTTTAGGATAATAATATATTAATTTTAACAAATCTTACCCAAAGAAGTAGTGGAAGATCAACATCAAACATAAAGGCCGAAATCTTGGCCGGCTTTTGGGACCTCATGATTAACATTTTCCAAAGTAGTCGCTTTTCCGGCGGCATTTCCGACCACTCGCAGTTGTCGAACACCACTTGGGAGACTGCCAGGCTCTGTTGCTTCAGGTATTCCCCTCCATAGCAGTAGGAGCTGATCTGGATGAAGACGGCCACCAAGAAGGAGGCTCGAAAGGGCACCTGTGAGCTCCAACCACTGCGGCTGAAACGGAAGGCCAGCATGCAGAGTTGCAGATAACTCAGCATGTATTGCATAAACACTATTTCGGAAAAGATATGGTTGAGATCCTCAGCCAATTTTAGGGCCAAACGGTGGCGATGAATGAAGGTTGTTAATTGGCAATTGTGTGGGTTCTGGGGCTTTTGGTCCTTCAGGAGCAATTCCAATAATTGAAACTGCACCACCACATTGTGGACTAGCCAGGAGAAGAGAGTATCGGCTGCAATGGCTAGCCAGGCTGCAGCTGCCACGCCCAAAACACCCCAAAAGTATATGGGCCAGAAGAACCGGGCCTGTGTCTCGTCCAGCCAGAAATTGAACTCCATGGGCGTGGTGGGTCGAAAGATGCCCACTCGAATAAAGCCCAGGAGGCCAATAAGCATGGGAGCTATGGCCGAGGCAGTGATAACGCCGTAGGCAGCATTTCTGAAGGCCTTGGACACAAACCCATCCAACCGATTCTCCCTTTTAATCCTCTCCAGCTGCTGCTCATTTTTCGATGCCTTTTGATTCAGTTGGTGCAATTGGTGGATCAGAGCACCGATTCGTCGACGTTTCACCACAAAAGCTAGGAACTTGAAGGTGCTCAGGGAGCCCTGTATGACCACGGCAAAGTTGTCAGTAAGTCGGGTTAAATCACTCAGATCCTGAAGGGCGTACACGGCCATCGGCCAGTTGTGCGAAATCAATGACAGAACCAGTATCCCGGCCCAAATGGGATGTTTCAGGTGGAGTTTCGGGGAACTGGCATCGAATCCGGCTATTTCCAGAGCTCTTCGCTGCACGGCGAAATAGCTGGAGTCCATACTGACTGGCTGACCCTTCAACCTTGTATTTGAATCTGAACTGAATAGGTTTGATTCCCATTCGAGCTTATATCCGCCGGGTTACACGCTAAGTGGATGCCGTTCCCGCCTCTCCATCCTGAAATATCCTTGGCCTGAAATATTTATTCTTTCCGTTTAACGGGCTACGTGATATGGTTACCACAAAACGTGGCATTTCCGCCTTTGTTTGTGATTGGAAATTGGGAACTTTTAATTTCACGGAATAATAGTTGCCGGATTTGGAGGGCGTAAATATCATATTAACAAATAAATACCAACCGAGCCAGAAAATGGGTGGATAGTTATCTAAATTGGTACAAGCTGGTCTTTTTTCTGCAATTAACATTTAAACACAACCCTCTGGTTGCAGGCCAGATGATACCAAAAGTTACCCACAAAAGTGGTTTTTCCTTTTTCAGTTACGGACGCCAAACATTTTCAAATCCCGTACAATAATCTATTGGAATGCAATTAAATTTGTATGTTTAGTCCCACAAATACTGTCATCTAAAAATGGGTCCTCTCTGATTTCTCGGTAATTCCGAAAAAACCCAAAACCCAAAAATGGAATTAATTTCAGTCCGCGCCATCGGGTCCTTTACTCAATTTGTTTGCCGGAGGACCTCGACCGATGTCGAAATCCATTTTAGACGCACTTTGTTTCGCGGGTAATTCAATTACGGGCTTTGCCAAAAATGCCCAAAAAAGGGGCAGAAATCAACAAGTTAATCTGCTTTCAAATTTTATCACATTGCCTAGGCAAAAATCTAGTGAAATGGCCATTTTGCCAGAGGATTTTCTAATGCATGGATACACTAAGAAGAAAAGATTTTGGTTTGGTAAGGCTAGATCTAAAATTTAAATAAGAAGTATCTGTATTTTTTGTGAAGTGTTTGTTTATTTCTTTGGCATTCGTTTGGTTTACTTTTTGGGTCCTTCACTTATTTTTGGGTCCAGGCTTAATGTCACCTTAAATGCTCTCAATTAATCTTAAGTACCGAAGTACCGGGGGACGGATGTCGACCTTTCCCTGGAATTTTAATAGCCATCATTTGCATTTCGCCTCCCACGAAATCCACCGCCATATGATTGTCAGCCTCGCCCGATCTGACAGCTTTACTGATTTATATATAAAGTCTGTGGCCTGCGGTTTTGGGAGTTAACCGCTTCAGGGCCTTCTTGCGGCTGCAACAGTTCTGCAACACTTTCCCACGGAGGGGATGGTCGGTGGAGGAGATGGGTTATTTGGCAAAAACAAGACACTCAGCAATTTATAAAGTTTGCATTTTCTGCCAGTTCTTGGCAGTTCTAACAGCATATTTCAAACAACCATTTTCATTTAAATTTCATTAAGTCGGAGATCGTCAGTGCAGTAGCACATTTTCATATGTTTGCACGTTTGCGTATGAAATTGATATTTTATGCAAAATATTTACCAAAAAGCCACAAAAGCAATAATGCCAGAGGCATAAAGAGCAAACGAGAGGGGGAGGGGGGGATGGTAGTACTAAGAAAGAGAGGGAATGTTGGTAACACACACCTGCTGCTCGATAATTTTGACAGCGGTCCAGCATTTGGTCTCCCCGGGTAATTTGCTTTCCTTACAGTAAGCCACTCTACCACCCATCTCTTTCTCCCCGTCATTTCCCGTCTCTTTCCCGCTGAGTAACTCCATCTCGTTTTTTTTTTCTGCCTGATGCCGCTGAGCTCTGTAAGTCGTTGTGTGGCTTTGTTTATTTCATTGGCCCGACTGTATCTTTTGCCGCCTGCCGACAGTGTTCATGTGCAGGTGTGCTCCTTTGTGTGTCACCCATTTTGGAGGTTTTTTATGTCCTTGCGGCGTGCCGTAAAAAGCATCTTCCAAATGGAGTGGCATGCAAGGCTTAACCAGCTTGCCAAGCAGGGAGGATAGCCCACCATCCGTTTCTTTCACTTGCTTTTTTTTTTGATCCTTTGTTCCGTTTAAGGAACTAGCAAAATGTTTCTCATCATGTTGCTCATTTGTTGTCCCATCAGAGGGAGAATTGTTGGGTATCCCAAGGGTATATTGGATTAAGGGACAAAAATATGTTCAAGTAACTAATTTGTGTACTGTTTTGGTTTTAAAGGTTGTGGTTTTTGTAAGGACTTAAGGTCAAGGTTGTCAGGTACTAGATCTTGGTTCTAGTTTTACATTCTAACTTCTTGAATCTTCCATTTTTTTTAATAACCCTGCATGTTTTCATTTTCAATTCTTTAATACAACTGCTTTTTATTGCATTTTTTGAATTTAACATTTTTTAAAATACAGTTCTTTTGTTGAATTTTTCAAGAGCACTGCCTAGTCGAGTGGTTTTTTGTCAGTTTTTCCCCTGCATGTGGGATGCGTTCTAAGTACTAGCAATTTTTCAGCCACTTTACAAGGCTCCTCTTGTCCGGCTCAGGACTCGGCAAAAAAAAAAAAAACCAAAATGTGGTTGTAACTATAGCAAAAGGATGGAGGGCGGGACGATGGACTCATGGCTGGTGGTTTAGTGGGACATCCAGGAGCGGCAAGTGTGTGCGTTCCACATGAGCAGCCGAGGAATTGAATAAAGTTAGCATGCCGCCGCAGGGAGTCCCCATCCCAAGGATGTATGTACGTGAAAGTATGCTGGGTGGAAAAACATCATTCAATAAAAAATTAATAGGAAAACATTCAATGAACGTGGCACAAAGGCGCCAAAGGGCCCACACCAGATCCATATATAGAATATATGTATAATATACCAGATATCCAATGCAACGCTGATGAACAAGCCATCCTGCAGGATGTTAGCAGTATAGAAGGAGGGTGGGTGGGTTGGTTGTGTGTTCGGAAATCACAGGTAATGTGGTTTTACGAGCACCATGAGACAGCCAGACAGCCCCCAGTCTCACTCCCTTGCCCCTAATCTCTCTGATAAATGCAGCCCAACTTGGTCGTGAGCCTCGCAGCGTACAGGGCATACAAAGCATGCTAATAAAAACATATACTACGTCATCTGTACATATATATATATGTATATATATTAAGAGGAATACGTGTGTTATGTAAGCGGATGTGCAACACTTTTTTTAGTGTAGAGCCGGCAGCAGGCAACCGTTGATTATACTAAACTTGTTTACTTATGCTCCTCGCCTGCTCTCCTGCCAGTGCCTGTAAGTGTGTATGTGTGTGTGCTTTGGCATGGTGGTGTGTGTGTGAGAGTCCTGGCGTGTTTGCAAAAGTGCAAATTTCAGCATAACCAAGCACACTCGCTCTGCCTGTGTAAATTTCGACTTAGCCACGCGAGCGCTAAGCAGCAGCAAGAGCAAAGCAAGCAGTGGCTGCCAGCAGGCTAAGGGGGGGGGGGGGTCCTGGCAAGGACCTAAATGGATGTGGGTGAAAAGTGCGGCACACTGTGATAAATGACACCAGAAAATTTGATGGTATACGATTAACATAATGATTTGCATACGTTTAGTCTGTCCTTGATGCACCAGGATCTTGCAAATTGTCGAAAAAGATGCAAAAATAAAGAAGGGAAACTTCAAAATGTTGCTAACGAAGCAAAAGGACCATCTTGATTGATGGCCAAGGGGGTGTGAAATGCATCCTATTCCAGGCAGATGCATCACGTTGACACGTTCAAGGCAACTTTTCTTCAAAGGCTTAGTTTTTTAGGAAATTTATCAATTTTAAACAGATTTTATCAGTTTTAAAACAGAAAATTATATTGAAAAATATCCTTTTTTTTATGTATGTATGACCCATATTTTTTTAGCCATTTTTTGTTGATTGAAACCTTGTAACCTTCCCAGTGATAATTTAATACTCTTTTGACACTTTAAGCTTTAGAAAAAAATGTTTAGCATATTTTCTTTGATGGAAATATTTGATTGTTTTTTAAGCCATAAAAAAAACTATAAATATTTAATGATGAAGAATAAAATCCCCCACAAGTCCAGGAGTTTAAAGTTTAATTTTAAGTCATTTTCGCATAAAAACACACAGAGCGCTTTGCACACATTTGCTGAAAATTAATTTGAAGCGTTGGATGTACAAACAGGGGGAGGCGGAAAAACCCATTACCTGGGAAAGTGGCAACGATAGGGGATCGATTTGCAGTCAGAGGATTCTGCAGCAAGTGGCATAAATAAATAAAGGGGGGAAACGAACAAAAATCGAACATGCCTTAACGGCACGACGGAAACATTCCAAGTTTTCAATGGAGGGCTGAACCGAACAGAGAAAACAAGTCGCAATAGTTGCTAGTTGATAGTTGCTAGTTGCAAGTTGCAAGTTGCAATTGAATAAGCGAAAACTTCTCAGACGATTGCAATTCATGTGATTACTATTTGCTTAAAGCTTTAGCTGCAGTGGGAGACAAATCTGGGGCTTCTGGCGGCTTCCCCTTGGGAAGTATATTAATTATAGACAAATATGTGGTAATTGACTGCTTCTCGACAAAGAAGCTCGTGCGGGATATACTCGTATCAGAGCCTGGCACACAATGGAGTCTGGATCTGAGCTTGAACTCAACGCCAGCTCGGCGCACAATGAGCTAATTTTAAGCTAATATTTATGCAGCAATTAAAACGGTTCAGTTGAGCTGGATGGGAGCGCCCAGCTACTTATTCTCTTCATCCTCTGAGCCACCCACTAACACCAACTCCACCACCACAACATTTGAGCTAAGCAAACAAAGTCCAGGGACAAAGTCCTTGCTGCACAGAATCCAGGCCATGAATGATAAATGAATGCAAACCGGAGAAAAGGAGTCTTACTCAGCACAGCATAGAGTGCTCTACTGTATAGTACAGAACAGTTCGACAAGTACTCCCTCAAAATCTAACCCGGATCATGAATAATATTTGATAAATTATAAGAGTACACAGTCTGATTGACTGGAGGAACTTTTCATAACCGCATTCACCCAACAAGTCTATCCACTTACCCTCAGTTATCCAGCAGTCAGGGATGAGGTTTAGAGGTAGAG